CCTCGCCCGACTGTCCGATGACATCCAACGGCCGATAATCGGGTTGGTTGTGTAGAGGCCTTAAGATTTTCCCACAGGTTCCATTTCTCCATCCACCCAACACATATTTACCTGTTCGCAGGAATAGAACAGTAATTTTTGTTTTAAAAAAAGAGTATGAAAACTCTAAAATGGCTTAAAACTGGTGGTCTTTCAAATATGTTTCGGAGTTGCCGAGCTGGGACCTGAGCTGCTAACCAGCAATCTTTCAGTCCTGTAGTAACACTATTATGCTGCAACCTGAACTCATTTTATGGTTGACTAAGGTAACTTAAAAAACCCTTGTGGCAACTAGCACCACACTGAAAACTCAACTGACCTTATAGTCATCTGCTATATCGCACATTAATTAATACATGGAAACATCGCCCAGCCCTTTTCATCCTCAAAGTGGAGAGAAAGTTGACAAACTCTCAGTTCAGTCATTCAATTGAGTTTGAATTTAACAAATCAAAAACTAACCACAATTTTTTTTTTGTATCGATTTAATCAGTCTTGGAAGGAGTACTAAAAATCTGTACTCAAATAGACGTACTGTTCCATTAGTGAAATATGAATCAATTACAAGTATACTTCTCAAAGAGCGTTAGTTAATTTTTTTTTTTGTCATTCATGTTTAATGTCTATCAATGTCTGTTTATCAATAGCAGACATTCAATGGTAAGGGGAGATCTATGTTGAAAATATTCGGTAGATTATTTTCTTATTCACTTTATTCATTACTTGACTAACTACTTAAATCTGCTCACCTTGCTTTTCCCTTCAGTACTTTTTTTCCACACACCTACCAGTATTTCTCACACATAAGCTTGCCCCTCTCTGCTTCTCTGTTTCTACAGCTCCCTATCTGTTTGTCTGTCGAATTTCTTTACCAGTATGTTTTTCAATAGTCTAAACCAACATATTACTGAATGACATTGGCACCCTCTGGTGTGTTCACTGTTGTTCACTCTTGCTTTATCTGGTCTGTTTTTGTGTCAGAGAATGCATCTCTCTGTGTCTTTGCAGTAGAGCATGTGTGATTGTAAATAGACTGTACAGGAGGGGTAGAGCAAGATCAGATTTACATATACTTGGTTAGTATTTGGTAGCATTGCCTTTTAAATTGCTTAACTTGACTCAAATATTTCAGGTAGCCTTCCACAAGCTTTTCACAATAAATTGCTGGAATTTTTCCCGTTCCTCCTGACAGAACTGAGGTAACGAAGTCAGGTTTGTAGGCCTCCTTGCTCACACACATTTTTTCAGTTCTTCCCACAACTGTTCCATTAGATTGAGGTCAGCCCTTTGTTATGCCCATGCCAATACTTTGACTTTGTTGTCCTGAAAGATCCACTGTGTAGGATTTACTGGCATCTAGCTGTGTAGTTGCAGGTCGCAATTCTGTCACCCTCCCCTTTAAAGTGCAAAAACGCAAACGCCCTATCTAGTGCTGTATTAGGTTTGTCCCTTCTGAGCTACTGTTAAAAACATGGCAGTTCAACATGGTTGACTCCATGCTACCCGCTGCGTCTGTAGATATAAAAGGCTTATTCTAAGGTATCAAAACATAAATCCTTCACGGTTAAGATGAAGGTGTTCGCCTTGCAAGCCTACTCCTCTTTCCTCCAAATGGTCATTAAAGCCAACAGTTCTCAGACCAGAGGACATTAAGCCAAAAAGTAAAATCTCTATCCCCATGTGCAGGTTGCAAAATTATTTTTTTAATGGTGGTTTTGGGGTAATGATTCCTCCACATTGAGCATCCTTTCAGATAATGTCCATATAGTACTTGTTTTGCTGTGAATGAAAATACTCAATTTGCACTTTAGCACTGAAATGCATTCATCTTTAGGAGAAAGAACATGTCTCCCTTCTGAGTGGTACAAATGACGGTTGCGTTGGCCCATTGTGTTTTTACTTGTACTATTGTTTGTACAGATGAATGTGGTACTTTCAGGTGTTTGGAAATCGCTCCCAAGAATGATCCAGACTTGTGGAGGTGCAATGTTATTTACTTATTTATTTTTTTAGATCATTTTCCAAGCTGTGTAAGTGCAGTCAATTTAGTGTATGTAAACGTCTGACCCACAGGAATTGTGATACAGTAAACGGTAAACTATCAGTAAACTATTTTTGAAAAAAGTACTTTTGTCATTTACTAAGTAGATATCCTAACCAGTTTGCGAAAACTATGGTTTAACATTAAATATGTGGACTTCTCTTATGTCTTCAACCTAAGTGTATGTAAACTTCTGACTTCAGTTGAATCTTGCTTTATCCAAAAAGAACTGTACTTCTTCTCAGACACCTTTTTAAGGAAACTATTACTGTTCTTTTTTCTTTCCTGTTCTTTACTGCTAATCTCTGTTTTCAGACACTAAGATGTTGGTGTGGCTGTATTTCTGACACCGCTATCTGTGGGCTTCTGAACACTGTGGTAATGATGCTTCCTGTATTTCTGTCTGTGTGTCATAGGTTTCTGAGTGGTCTCTGCCTAGAGCAGAGCTGCAGAAGCGTTGGTGACCAGGACCAACAAGTCTCTCTTCCTGGACAAGCGACATACAGAAAGTCTGTGTCTCTCCTTCCATAATAACTATCTATGTAATGGAAATGTATAGATTTACACACTGTGCTGTGTTATCTATATATTCATATGTATATATAATAAAACTCTGCACTCCGAAAGAAAAGAATGAAAAAGCAGGTTTTTTGGATGTGGAGGCTGTAGCCCCCTGCCCCCACCCCAGACACAAATACCACCCTCCCCCCATCCATCCCTGTCTCTGTCCTCCTTTCAATGTTGACTTTTTGTAAGGTTTCTTTGGAAACTGAAGTTAAGAAAATAGTCAGCTGACCCTCTGTTTTTCTCTCCCAGTGGAAACATCTCAAACCACCCCCACCCCCACTCCTTCATTATTTCACTCCCTCCTTTTACCAAGAAAATGTTGAAACATGTAAACCTGAAAACTGTTTTCCCTTTTTGTTTTTGAAATAATTGAATGATGCAACCCTGGATGTTATTTACTAAAAAATCAAAAATGTTTTTTCTTGTTTTCTTTTTGTTTTCCTATGGTGATTAGGAGTTAGCCTGTTGACAATATAAGCAGCTCATGGCAACAGTCAATGGTAGAATGATACTCTGGCTCTTTCCCTCTCTTATTAGAGCTCTGAATTCTTATTATTAAATCTGTTGTAAAACCTATGGTCTTCTCCAAAAATACCAATAAAAACATGACACAACTCAGACCTCCAAGCACAAGTTATTATCAAGCAGCTGCACAATGTCTCGGATGAAAATGTGGCCCACCAGTTGTGTGTATGATTTCTTTTCTTCTTTTTTCTCTTTTTTTTTCAGCTACTACAAATTGCATTATTACAGGGTGTCCGCGGGGTTGTAAAAGGTATTAAAATAGTAAATGAAATTAGCAAAAATTAAGGCCATTAAATTAAAAAGTAATAAACGTCATCTGACGAGGTATTAAATTATTTCACAAACCACTATCCAATTATGAGGTTTTTTTTCATTTGTGTAAGGTGCAGGTCTATCTCCTAACAATCACGTGAATTTATTTATATAAATTATAAATTATATGTGCGAGTAGGACCTCGAGGTATCGATGATGTGACGACAGTGTTTGACGGTAAAACTATTTGCGCCTCAGTCTGTGCTCCAGATGGATCGCACACGGCTGCCGAAGTCTAGGGGAAATGTAATTTTTCGGACCTCTGGTTAGAGGACTCGAGATTGGCTTAGGCCAGTAGTTGGTAACAGCCGAGAGGCTTATTGCCACGTCTGTAAAAAGACAATGAATATCACCTGGATGGGAGTGAATGCCGTCAGGTCACACATGGAGTCTAATAGCCACCAAACAAGAATGCGCGGACGTAGTGAG